ACACACACACACACACACACAACCCTCCATCACCACCATGAGTCAACATTACAGGACACACAGGTTTTATTTTATTAAGATTCAAACCAGCGTTGAACTCAAGTCATCCACTCAGCAGGTGGATGTGAAACTCTGTGGATCGATAAATAAAACTTACCGTCACACTCTTCTCCCCCGTCCTTCTTCCAGGGTGGAGGAGAGGCCGGAGGCTCCGCGTCAGAAATGGCAGCACTCAGCGACCTTTCACTCGTCTCCCCCTCCAGCTTTACCTGAGTGATCCCCTCCCACTCCTCGTCCTCCTCGTCCTCCTCCTGCGGGGAGACGAGGCTGCGGGGGGGAGCCGTGGGGATCACGAGGTCGGGCCTGCTGGAGAACAACTCCCTCAGGATGTGGATCGGCGAGATGGTGACGTCCCAGTTCGTGATGCCGAAGTCGCGGAGGTGGGCGCGGGCGTGGCTGGACAGGCCGGCCCGGGTGTCGAAGCCGGCGCTGCAGAACTCGCAGTGCATCACGCTGAACGTGTCCGGGTCAAAGTTGGCAACTGAGGAGAAGACGGGCGATACAAGAAGAAGACGTGAACGTGCAGATACTTTAAAGCTGTAGCTCCCAAACCTCTTTGTCTCATAAGCCTTTAAATCAAAGCTCGTGCTCATTGCCCTAATTTCAGACTCTGGAAAATGTTCAGTTAATTGGGTCTTGACATTTTCTTGCGTTTTCACATATGCGGGATATTGTCAAGTTCAGAGACGGAGTGGAGCTCTGGTGGAACAACATTGTTCCACACCAGCATCGGCTCCTATCGCCAAAAACTCTGGAATCTCGTTGTTTTTTCCAAGTCGACGTCTTCGTTGACGTCTTCTACGTAAGTTGTCCTGCTGTACTGGACAGGAAAAAGTCTGGATTCCTGAAAGCGGCTGTACGACATGACGTACGGATGAATCTCTATAACACTCATGATCCAAAGCTCTTCCTCTGTTAAAAAAATCAACTTTCAAATAAAGTTGGAGGAAGCCGGAGGGGTTGTTAGCATTTAGCTCAAAGCTAATAGTCGCTTTCCATCTTGTTTATCTTCTGCTATTTGAGAAACTTTACATGGTCCTAAATAAGTTAAATGATCCAGAAGGAGAAAAGCAAACATTCAAGAAAAGTGAGAAGATTCATTTAACTTTGCAGAAGCAGAAACTTTGACCCCTCGGAGTCGTTGTGCGTCCCTCGAGGGGGAACCTGACCCCCACATTGGGGACCACCGCCCTACCCTACAGTGTGCTCCAGCAAATGTGCAGGATGTTTTTCATCTTGGCCCACGTTGCCCTCGCACACACTCAGATCAGGGTCATTACTCAAAGTACATTTTAAGGCACTTTCTGCTTGTGCGGGAGAATCTGCTCAGACAACATCGACGTAAAACAAACACCTGCAACACGCCGCTGACCTTTTTTCTTCTTCTTCTGATAGGAGAACTTCCTCTCAATCGCGTTGACCTCCTCGGGGGAAATGAAGTGACGCACATTGTAGCTGACGCCCACTCGGTTCAGGTGGCCTCTCACGTGATTGGCGAGCCCGATGCCGTTATGGAATCGATCCGGGCAGTAGGGGCATTTCCTCTCCACGCTCTTCAGCGCCTCAAAGTCCTCATCGATGTCGTCTTTCTCCTCGTCCAGGATGCCCTCCGACAGGAAACGCCTCACGCGCTCCTCGTCGGTGTCGTCGTCACTGTCGCTTTCTGCAGCGGCGCCGGTAACCCGGGTGCTCCTCCGCAATATGATGACCTTTCCGTCTTTCTCAGCCTCCTGGTCGCCTTCGTTCTTCACATTCTTCTTCGGCGGAGGAGATAATGTCGGACTCTGCTGTGCTGAACAGTCGTCTACAAAGAAAAAGAAGGAAATCTTGAACAAATGGCGGATTCAACACATTAAATGTTGTGTCTGCTCTGTAGTAATCCGATTACTCTCCAGTTATTCACAGGATTACAGCGTTGATGCACAGAGTGTACATGGAAGAGTCATCAGGAGGAAATCGTACCTGTGACTTCTTGACAAAACATCATCGACTGCAGAGCAACATCTGGATAAAACAGTGGAGCGGGGGTGGGGGGGCTGGGGTGGTAGAAGGTCCCTAGACTGACGTTTGGAGATTAATGGAGATTTTGTGGAGTTCATTCTTCCCACTTTTTACTTCGTTTCCAACGCCACACCTGGTTTATAAACCAGATGTGGCGTTGCAGACTTCAGATGTTGAGTTTTGTGATGAGGCTGCAGGTAAGTTTTTCCTTCTCATGACTCTTCCACATGGACCCTGTTTGGGCATCAACGCTGGAACAGCAGATGAGCAGTTTTAGTCCAGATCGTGTCTCGACCTCAACAATTCCCCACAACTGAAATTTAACTGAAACCTTTCGGACACTGGACATTTGATTTCTTTTTATAGATCTGTCAGGATCGGCTCAGAATGAAAAGTGTGTCTGGACTTTTACTAAATTTATCATTGCTGATGAAAATTGTGGTTTTGTTCGATTTTGATCTCAGACCTTTTATTTGTTATATTTACTTTATTTATGAAAGTCAAAGACAGTGATGTACCGATTTGTCTTTGTGGGTACCTGTACTGTTTCATGTCAGATTAGTGTGAATTAATGTTGCTTCGTTTAATTTCCTGATCTGATTTGATGTGTTTGTGTATCATCTGGTGTTAAGTTTGAGTCAGTGAAGTCGACTTGATGCCACTGCAGCGTTTCAGTGCAGGTCAGAGAACCTCACCTGTGTCGGATCGAGCCCTAGTGAAACGCTTCACTCCTCCAGGTGAGCTGGCCTCTTGCTCTGACGCCTCGGTGTCAAGCTCTGTGCTCAGATATTCATTCTGCTCTTCTTCTTCACTCCGGGGCCGCGTGTCGTCGTCCGCCCTGTGAGAAAACGTGGCCGGATCCGTCCAGGTCTTCCCTCTCCTGCTGAATCTCCTGTTCCCGACACACTTGAACACCACCAGGCTCGCGGGCCGAGCCACGGCACCGTCCGATGCTGTGCCGTCCTCGGACCCGGCGACAGGCTTAGAACTGTGGCCAGTCTCGTCGTCGGAGAACTGTCCTGGATGTGCAAGTTTGTGGTGTTCCCTCAGTACGGTTTCACTTGAGGTCTGGAAGGCACAGTGACCACAGGCCAGGGAGGAGGACGTGAGACGTAGCGGTGACCCAGGAGGAGACGAGTCCACCTGGTTTCTTTTCTTGTTGTGGGTCTTTGAGTGATTGGCCAGCGCCTGGGACGTTCTTGTGCTGAAGTTACACTTGGGGCAGATGAAGCGACGGCGGTAGGCGGAGACAGCGCGGCCGTGAGCTGGGGATCGAACTGAATTTGGATGAGTTGCATCAGAGGGAACAGCGGCGGGGTCGGCCTCTGGAGTTGAGGCTGGGGACAGAGGTGGAGATGTGACGATTTTGGAGCTTATATCTTGCAAATGAACCGAGACCTGACTGATATTCTTCACCGCGTTACCGTCCAGTGTCTGAATCTCTCTTGCTTTTCCGTTTTCATTGAGTTTTTCAATCTCCTCCAGGATCTTCACGCGGGACTCCTGGTGCCTTTTTTGGTGGTCTGCCAGAGCGAGCCGGTTCTGCAGGTTCCATCCACACTCGATGCACCGGAAACGAGCGCTCTTTCCCAAACGCCGGCCGCCCCCTGACCCGCTCTGACAGTGCTCGACCATGTGCTCCTGCAGATGAACCTGCTTCTTGAAATAAATGCTACATTCAACACAGGTGAAAATTTCTTTCCCGAGCTCCACCCCGCTCTCTTCTTCTTTCACGTCGTCTTTCCCTCGTCCGTCTCTGTGTGTCTCTGGCTCCTCCACCGGCCCCTCCACCTCCTCAAAATCAAACACCCCTCCCCCTGGATTCAGCGGTGCCATCTCTGAGGACGTTGACTTTTGGAGACTCTCTCGTCCCGCCTTGTGGCCCATCTCAGGCAACGCTCGCTTCAGGGTGCCAAGTCCGGAGAAAGGCCTGAGCAGCACCCTCTTCTTTCTGCACCGCTGAATGAATGTGCAATGGGCCCAGGGGGCAGGAGGGGGACTCTCAGGGTCGGAGTCCCCTGGGAAGGTGTACACATCTCTCTCAGACTCATTGGTGTCTTTTCCCTTGGGCCTCTTGTCTCTGTCATCACCCTCGTCCTCCTCCTCCGTTTGGCATCCTCCCTTTGGTTTTACTTTGGCCAGAAACAGCTCAGCTCCCTCAGATACATTCCAGACTTTGCTGTCTGCCACTGTGAAGACAAAACGGAGGAATCATGAATGAAAGGAGCCTTAAGATAGAAAAAAGAAAAGACAGCAAGCGTGCAGGCGGATTTTGTTTCTCCCGTACGGCACTCACATTCTGCTCGGCCAAGCTGAGCCGCATTCGACTCTTCTGTCTTTGTGCTCTCATTGGTGTCATCGTGCTCCTCAGGGGGAAACGGATCCATTTTACTCTGCAAGTGCTGCAGTTTTTCAGGTTCTGGGTCATCCTCACTATCAAGTCTGGAAGGAAAAAAACAACAGTGAATTCAACTTTGAACTAGTGAAACGTAAGAGTCGTTGCCTGAAACACGTAATTTCATCACATTGTATTCATGACCGATGACGTGGGAGCTCTTATTTCTTATTCTCTACGATTGAAGACAGCGAGGTCATGACCTTGATCATTTTGTGAGGAGTTAAGTGGGTTTTAGTAAACTGGGTGTAGTGTCAATATAAATATACACAGGGTGTGAATGTGTTACACTGATTACAGAGGTGTTTGAGTGTCTCTATTTAAAATTGTTTGCAGACATGAGCTCTGGAGACCGTCTGGAGAATTGGGTCCAAACATTCTCCATCTGTTCGTCCTTCACATGCAGCCGGAGATTGTCCAGGTCACAACAACGGGAAAATTCAGGCGAGGGGTGAGAGGACGCGACGCGTAATTCAGCTGCGGAAAGCTCAACTTGGAAAGCGACGAGACTTAAGGGGCCAATGTCGGCTCCACCCCGCTCCCATGCCCGTGGTTGTGAATATCCCTGAACTGGACGATCTCCGGCTGCGTTCAGACAACCTCCAGAGTCCACGCCTCCTCCTCACCTGAGTCCAGAAGAAGGAGATCCTGGGCTGTGAGCAGCCAGACCATGAGGGTTAGAAAAGTGCTGTAGCTCCTCCTCTGACACGAGACGCCACACATAAACAGACAACGACAGAAACATCACTGCACGGCTCCACAGTTAAAATCCACATTGAAAAGTACAGTGCATAGATGAGACTACATTTAAAGCAGTAAGGGGACAACAGGGACGGGTTCTACTCCTCGCTTTGCTGCAGATTGCGAACACGACCGCTCGTGAGAAAGCGTGCAACAGGTTTCCATGAGATATTAAAGGGATGTTACCATCTTGTGTTTCTTTCTCTGAGTCAGAGTCCCAGCTCAGGGAGGAAGGGAAGGCCGAGGACCTGAATCTCCTCTGTGCGTTCCTCCCTGGGTCTGCGGCGGGCTGAGACTCCTCGGCCTGTGCGGAGCACTCGTCCCCAGCTCGACCCCACGAGCGTTTCAGCCCATCTCTCGCATTCGGAGAGCACGAAGACTGGAAGACACAGTTAGATGAGATGATTGTACTGATGCATGATGGGAACGAGAGCTCGGGTGAGGTGTTTTACCTGTAAGGTGCAGCTGAGGAAGGTTTGTGCTGAGTTGAAGGGTGGGGGCCCATAGCTGGTCCCTGGGGTTAGGGGTCCTTCTGGCTCCATGGTCCCCCAGAGAACAGTATGGAGTCCCGCTGGAGAGCAGCCGGCCTACATTGTGCAGCCTCCTCCTCTTCTTCAGGAAACATTCACACATGAACACACACTGTACAAACACAAATCAAAAGTTTTACAGACACTGAGCCTGAGGCTGCGGGGAAAAGAAACACAAAGCAGCGTCAGACCTGCAGACTCTGTGCTGCCAGCTGCAGGTTTTCTGATAGTCTGACCTATTTTCCCTCTGCTCTTAAAGAACGAAGTGGTGCGCCCAGATGGTTACATAAATAAGTGGCCTTTATATTCAGGCCCATATCCTCCCCTGCTGCCCCTCTACAAACCAGGAAAATGTCCGGGTGGATGAAGGTGTCCCACGGGCTCGGCTCAGAGGACGCGTCTGTCATCGATCCAGCGTGTGTCAGGTGAGTGTAGTGAAATAATGCATCCATGCACGGAGATCTGTCCAACTCTAAACGCGCAGAAACTGCATCCAGCCCCCCCCCCCCCACAGATATACTCACTGGAGTCGGCCTGGTTGTTGCGGATCGCGGGGCAGGGGAGAGGCAGGAGCGGCGGGCTGCTCAGGCGGGGTTCGGCATGATCTCAGGACGGAGCCGAAGCCTTTCACGGCTCGAGACGACGCTGTCACGCCGGGGAGGGATTCACTGCTGCCGGGGCCGGAGTCGCTGTGTGAGCCGCCGCTCGGGCTTCGGTGCACGGATCCCGTGGAGATGCCAGACCGAGCAGGACTCCATGTTATTTGGCTGCGGGCGCGCCACGGCTGCTGCTGCTGCTGCTGCTGCGTGCGTAACGTCGACGGGGAGGGTGACGGGAAGAGTTTCCACAAACCCGCAGACTGCAAGTTTATTAACTCTGACTTTTACCTGCTGCTTTTAAAACATACACACATTCTCATCGTTTCTTCATTGTGAGCTTTTCTTTTTTTTTTTTTAAATCAGTTTGAAAATCTCTCAGATTGATTTGAAGCTTTTATCTTTTAAACACAGTGAAAATAAAACACATTTCACACCGCGTCATAGTGATAATTATACTTAACAATAGTATTTTAAAGTGTGTGGATACTGCGTTTAATGTCATTTATTTACTCAGTTAAAGTTTCTGTTTCTCTCACATGTTAACTCAGAATTAAATAACACAACATGCTGTAAATCCCTCTCTGTGTGTTGTGTTCAGTTGTGTTGAGTTTAATCAGTTTGTGTAACAACATTCTTTAAATGCTGCAAATCAATAAAAAAAACAACCCAACTGCTCATTATTACACCTTAATATAGCGCCCTCTACCGGTCGCAGGTGGGACTGTGTCATTGCTCAGGCCTTTTTATTCAAATGGTGAAAATCTGCAGCAGCAACATGCAACTCAGTCTTTAATGGAAATAAAAGTACAAATACAAAAAAAGTCAATGTCATTTTGCCGACACCAGTTTTTATTTGCATGTGGTTTATTGTGTTCAAAGGGAAATTGTACATTTATAACATAATATTTATTGTGTGAAGTTTAGTTTGTTCTTCTCGTCGAGTCGCTCGTCAGTTCTTCGCCTCCTGAAATGAAATATGAAGCAAAATAAGTGATGATGATTTGATATACATTTGTATTTTTACATTGGGTGAGAGAAATCTTCCGGAGACGGACGATTTTATCTCAAAAACCAGATGCAGCTCCACACGTCTCAGCTGTCCTTGAAAATGAACATTTCAATCTCACCAAACCGTTGTTGTTTCTTCGCTCTAAGAAAGTCAGAGTGTCCTCTCACTAAGATGTTATCCGACCCCCTGACTCAACCCTGCACGTGGGTCACACACATGTGCCAATGCATCATTGTGCAATCATCCTGTGCCACTGCACTTGGTGAAAGGTGAATATAACTTTAATACATTCTGCGTTCTTCATTATTATTCATCTTATATATCTAATCACCTGTATAACAGTACAACATTATATTCAGAATATCAGTTCTCCTTCTACATACCCCATAGTGTTCCCAGCTTGTGATCTCATTATAGAGGGCGTCTCCAGGACAGGACGTTTTCACCACCTGTCTGTGACCTTTCAAGGTGAAGTCGGCCTCCAGTCGCCCGCCGCCGACAGCACAAGAGGCCAGCTGATCTCTCACCAACCCCATGGAATGCTGGGAAGGCAGACTGCTGACGTAGTCACCGATGAAAGAAACCCCGTAGCCGATGGAGTTGTGTCCCAGGGTGTGAGCTCCTTGCCAGTGCCAGCTCCGGCCCTCGTAGATGTGTCCGTCTGAGCCTGCGACAAAGCTTCAGGAGGACCAGAGACGTAAGTTGTGTGGAACAGATATGCACGTTTTATCCTGATACAGATGTGTGACGCCAGACAGCTGTTACCTGTATCCTATGTCGTCCCAGCCCCTGTCGTCCTGGTGGAAGCGCTGCATGGAGCGCATGTCTGCAGAGCACTGCTGGAAGGTGAGACAGGGCTTCCCCGGCGTGTGAGTGTGGTGGATGAACATGAAGGAGAGAGGCAGCGTCAGGTTGATGGGTGTTCCTTTGTACGGCTTTGCACCCCACATGCACCGAGGTATGATGGGTGGGCAATCTGAAACAGATGTTTAACCACAGCTGGTCAGCAGCTCAGCACAGAATTGCTTCACTTCCTGCATGTGGTCTCGTGCTCTCACCGATGTACATGTGGATGAACTGTTTCATTCCCTCCTTCACCGCTGCCGTCAGCTTCTTCCTCTCCTTCACTTCCATCTTTGACTTCCTCTCCAGTCTCCGCTGCAGCACCACTGATTTCACCACGTGCCTGACCAGCGTTGGAGAGACCAGCAGCTCCCTGAAGTTGTCCCTGCGTCGTCGGCTGATGCGGCGCGGGGCGGCGTCCAGACCTCCATGGCCCAGCTGGTGACAGTAGTACTCTGTGAGCAGACTGCTGAGCGTGGGTCTGGTCTTGGCCTCCATCCCGAGGATCACTCCATCCATGCCTCCGTTGACGTAGGCGGTGGTGAGCAGAGTGGGGGTGTCAGAGAGGGTGAAGACTTGCGGAGAGGTCAAACTGTCCCAGCAGCCGTCAGGCCCCAGACGCTGGGTGAGAGGAGAGTTCTGCCTGAGAGACCGGCCGAGGTCTCTGGCCAGAGTGAGCTGGTACATAGCCCGAACAGAGTCACTCCTACTCAAGAGGAACCCGGCCTCGATGCCCAGGAGCAGCGGCCTGAGGGCAACAGTGGTGCCATCGGAGGTCAGAACCACGCCCTCCTCTCTGGCATCATCGGTCACCGTGTACGGCACGGACTTCCTGATGTAAGCCAAGAGGTGGGCGTCCACCTCAGAAGCACTGGAATCCACATCTCCAAGGAAGTGCTGGATGAACGGATCCCTGAGGCCGGCCGCCCAGCGCAGCTTCTGCAACACACCGACCGGGTCTGACTCGGGGGCCCCGTCCTCCAGCTGCTTCACCACCGCGATGAAGTCGTCCATGTGCCGGGAAAATGAAGCTGGAGACAATGTATTAAAAAAAAAGTACATAATGTGTCTCGATGGATAATCTTCATGTTCTGGCCTCAGGCTACGTCTGCGATCTTTTAATTCCCTGTTTCCCTCTCAGAGGTTTGAGATGTCGACAGTCTGCTGTCACTCCCTGAATCTCTGGATATATTCCTGAATGTACTTGAGGTGACGGCTGATGTTTTATTGTCGTATATGCACTTTCTGTATTTTTGTTCTCTGTTGAACTTTGTGTTTAAAAGTGATTTACACAGTGCAGTTCTTCTTCTTATGTAATATTATAAAAGTACATGTAATATTGTGTAATTATTGATGAATGAAGCAGTGTTTTCTTCAGTTCCAGAAACAGCTTCATCACAATGATCTCAGATTAGTGACAGTGTGAGAAAAGCTGTGTTCACAGTTTTATGACCGTGGATTTATTACCCTCCTGACATAAAAAGTTTTATGAACACAAGGTTAACGGTTGTAAAAACTTTCACGTGTCAATAAATCCTGGAAACAAACTGAAAGAATAATGTCTCGGCTATTTTATTATAAACCTTAATACACCAGACTCCACACACACAATGCAGCTGTGAATAAAAGTTCTTACCTTCTGTGTCCTTTGTGCAGGTCATGACCACAACAAGGGTCAGAGTCAGTTTCCAGCAGCCTTTATCCATCATGAGCCTCCAGCACCTTCAGCTCCGAGCTTCAAATGTCTCTCACCTTGTCTGCCCCCTCTCTCATTTATAGACGTTCATATGCAGAGTAGGTGGGAGGTTATGCAACATGCACACATGCCGCAGATACGTCCGCCTTTTGTCGGATGGCGTGAGAAACCAGCACCTGCGGCCAGTGTTTCCTGTCCGCTCAAGGTCTTCCTCTGCAGCGTCAGACCTGGACATTTTGGAGAAATTCACAACTTCTGTAATAAATCTGTGGCTGCTATTTGTGAAACATACTTTCTGGGAATATTGGCAGCCAACAGCAAACTCCGGGCTGTTGTACAAACCCCTGGCACTCCTCTCTGTGGCAACATGTGAGCTCTTGTCCATGTTCAGAAAACACAAGAGCACGGCCGCACAACAGAGGAAGTCCCACGAATCACATGTTTGCTGACAGACACAAATCTGATTTCTTCATGAATGATTTGATTTAAACTTTACATGTGCACATGTGAGACATTGTGGAAAGATCTGCTGCAGTTTTGTGTCCACAGGCCGTCGAAGTTGATATCAATGTTTACCTCAGACACATACGACAACCAGCTCCGATAACAAACTACATTCACCACCATTATGTACTTCACTTTAACATTTGAATTCTCAACTGTGCTTTATTCATCTGTCTGTGCAAAATCAACGGTTCACGTGCAGCCCTCACGCTGCATATATGTCTTCTTGTCTTTACACTAGTTTAATTACATTCATATGTTTCTATATTTATATATATTCTTTCACATCCCTTACACTTGAGTACTGGATGTTACTTGTTACTTGTAACTTGCTGATGTCTTTTTGAATCTTGCTGCTGTACTACTGCAAATTTCCCCATAGTGGGATTTACAAAGGACTTCTTATATGTGCGGTATTGTATGAGGACAAGAACAGGAAGTGGACAGTGTTTAGTTCTGTGAGAAAGTACATTGCAGAAAGTTCAAAGTTATAAATGAGTTAGCACTTTAATCTCTAACCATATGTAAATATCATACTGGGGGAGAATGAGAGAGAAAGAGAAGCTGACGCTTACAAGATTAAAACAAGAACCATAAAAAATGTAATATATACAGTTTTTTAGGGCTCAGGCTGGAGATTGAAAATAAAATCCTCGTCAAATACAAATGTCGGGTTCTTTTGTGTTTTCTAATGAACAACAAATTAATGTGTACATGTTCAGTCTCGTATACTTTATAAAATCCTCCTCGACAGATCCCAGAATACTTGTAAAACATTTGTTTAACAAATGTTTGTGTATCTCCTCTAATATTCTCCGTCCTTGGTTTGTTTTTAAATAAAAGTATTTTTTGCTCACGTAGAGCAACCCCAGGTACCCTGAAAGTTGCATACATTATTATTAGTATTTGTATTAGTAGTAGTAGTAGTATTAATATGCACACGTAGGCCTAATATACTGTATGTTATATTACAAGTACCGCTTCTGTCCAGTGGGTGGCGGTGTACACTTTAAGCTGAGGTTTCCCGTATTTGAACCCCAGAGAAGCACGAAGAAGAAAAACGAGGAAGCCCGCACACAAGCTGATCTTCTGCAAACTGAGGTTTGTGTTTAAACGAAGGCGACACTTTTATAAAACCACGATAATAGAAACCAAACGTCATCTGTGCGTGTCCGAGAGTTTATTAACTCGTGTTTCTGCTCCTGGAAGAGCGCGTCGCCTGGCAGGAAGCGTCAGTTAGCTTCTGTAGCTAGGTGGCTAACAGCTGACTGTGAGGGCTGAGACGCTCAAATTGAAGAAAAATAATAAAAACAGTTAAACCGGTGAAGAGCTGATGTTTGTGGAAGCTCCTCACATCTGCAGCTGCTGTTGTTTACTGTGACATGAGATTTAAAACTGGTTTTAGCGAAGGAGAGAAGCTTTATCTGTTTATTGTAGCCTGATGTAAGTCTGTGTTGTTGATGTTAATGAATCATAATCAAGAGAAATGGATCTAATGTTTTATCATCACTGTGCATTCGAGGCTTTTTCTTTTCAGTGATAAACCTCAGTGGGTTCTGGATGAAGAAACACTGACTGGTTTAATTTATATCTGTGGGAAAGTTAAACCCAAGTACTGCACAGTAGAGGTGACGTGTGCATGGTTTAGATAATTGTTTACATTGTGCATCCTTTACTTAAAGTCATAGCTAAGTTATCATGTGTGTGCAAATTCTAACTCTTCCAACCTTTCAGTCTGATGTCTGACTGTCAGGCTTGTTCACCATCTCAATGGCAACATGTGGTGTTTCGCTGCCTCGGGTTGATGGAAGGTGTTTTCTGTATAAACAATAAATACTAAACTGTGACAACCATCCCTCCTCTACAGAAAATGGACACGCGGTTCACCCGAGGCAAATCCAGCATCTTAGAGCGGCCCCTGACCCGACCCAAGACTGAGGTCAGCGTGAGCGCCTTCGCCCTCCTGTTCTCAGAGATGGTGCAGTACTGTCAGAGCCGTGTGTACTCCGTGTCAGAGCTGCAGACGCGTCTGGCGGACATGGGCCAGAGTGTCGGAGCCAGCATGCTGGACGTGCTGGTGCTGAGGGAGAAGAATGGGAAGAGGGAGACTAAAGTTCTGAACATGCTGCTCTTCATCAAGGTGAGCTAATGTGAAATACTGACGTTGCTCTTAGAGTAAAATCACTTTGTGCTTCAAACGTTTGAACCTGTTTTCTGCCCTTTAGGTTAACGTGTGGAAGTCTTTATTCGGGAAAGAGGCTGATAAGCTGGAGCAGGCCAACGATGATGACAAGACTTATTACATCATAGAAAAGGAGCCACTCATCAACGCATACATTTCCGTGCCCAAAGAGAACAGCAGCTTGAACTGCGCTGCGTTTACTGCTGGCATCGTGGAAGCCATCCTCACTCACAGCGGTTTCCCAGCCAAGGTCACCGCCCACTGGCACAAAGGCACCACGCTCATGATCAAGTTTAACGACTCGGTCATCGCCAGGGACAAGGCTTTGGATGGCAGATAAAAAAACGACTGGAGAGACTGGCTGGTTTTTGTTTATCATGACAGGATGAGGATAAATCATCCAGGTCCTTGTTATTTGAATATCTTTGTGGTAACTGATGATGACTGGATCTCTGCAACGTACTGAGCCACATCTAGAGCAGCAAAAGAAGCGGCTGATTGGTTCAAACGTCCAGTGTTTTGTGGATCTTCTCACTCTATACCTCATCAAGTTACATTCATTTGTTCACTCTTCATGTGTAGCTTCATGTGAGCTAAAGAAAATACAAAAGTTTGTAATTTCAGGTTTCTCATGAATTGTATTGTTGCTTCATGGTGGATCTGTGTTTCTATCGTCCTCCATCATCCTGACCTCGTCACCAGCCCCCACCACAGATAGACTTCTGTGAAAAGCAGCATTATTTTGATTATGAATATGATCATATTCACTTTCTCAAATAAACACAGATTATTAGTCGTTGCAATTGACTCAAAGTTTGATGGAGATGAATCTGAATAACAAACAACCTTAATATATTTTCCCTGATGTCGAGAGTCGAAGATTTGTTTTCTCTTTCTCACCCCAGTTCAGCTTTCAAGTTTCATCTCTGTAAAATAGATCCACAGTCGGGGTTGTGATGATATCTGAAGACACCGAGGTCCTCACTGTTTATTATTATATTTGTATTAATGATATTTTGATTCATTTGTTTCATTGTAAGTGTGCGTGCATGCAAACATTGAGGGTTTAACATGGGGGAGTTTCCATTCCACAAATAAAAAAATTAACATATTATAAGCTGACTTCTTTGTTTCTCTATTGAATAAGATTTAGAGAAAATATAATCGAGTCGACCGAATAATTATTATATAGTATTTAACAGATAAAACATGGTGTCAACCAACAATTTGTGATTTCAAAATGTCTGTTCAGAACAGCTGAGTACGTTGTTCCAAACATAGTGTAAAGTTTTCCTTTGAGGTAATTATTTACGGCTCTCGTTGTGTTATTTGTGTATCATCATTAATAACACAGTTTGTGTCTGTAGGTAAAAAAGTCCAGTGACTTGATGACATCAAGTTTCAATTTCCAACGTTCATTACAA